TACATGTTAATTTTAGGAAACTTCACCACTGACTTGAGTAAAAATGTCAATTTTGGCTCCAATATCTCTCATATCTATCATCTGAAATGTTACTAAGTTTGTCATTCATCTATAGCAGTCGGTTTAGATCAAATATAACTCTGTGGTCTGTCGTCAAGTTTTCAGAGATGTTATGATAATCGCTCTGTTAATTTCAACTTTGTGAATTAACTTGCTAATTCAGCCAGCATTAAAGCGTCACTGATGTTATAAGTCCGTCCCGGAAATGGGCTCCAGTTAGAGCCAATATTGCTAACTCAATTAGAGGTCGTCTGTTTAACTTTTTCTCTTAGTCACGTAGTGTTATTGGTTGTTACTGGACGCAATAGGAGTCAGAATATCTGTCTGTTCAACTCCAGATGTACAAGACACTTATCAAGTTTAGTTTAATGCTTGCGTCGACTTAAAGCCTTCTGTAGTCTGTACTTTTAGTGTTTGCTATATGCTGCGATGATAGAACATAGACACTAGACAGTGTAAGGTAGTGTTAATTATATCTCTGATGCTTGTTCTGTTGAATGTTTTATCTTTATCGATTATTTTGATAATTTTAAGGAAAACCATACTCATTGAACATTACTCGTGAAGTTGACTGAGAGCAATTAGGTGCTAAAAATGAGGACACAAATATTCTAATTTTCAAACTATAATGTTGAACTGCAGCGATTAACACAAAACTATATCTTCCCCTAACCTGAAACCTTGACACACCCAACCATAAACAGCAGAATACAATGCCGTCAATATATCTTATAATGATATTGTCAGCACATGTCAGTCTAATAGTGTAATGACTGGCGGGACTGACGGCCGGACGGCACTGCTGTATATCAGTGGTTTAATTATTATCCTCTGGAGCATGAACCTGCAAAGAAGTACAGTGGTGTATCCTTTAATTATTATAAGTGTGACCGGGTTATTGCTAAGGGTATCTTCATATAACACTGCACAGATTTTGGGCGTTGTATTTTCACTTTTCAGCCGATCCAATTATCTTAATTTCGATAGAGGTGGGCCCTGGCATGTCTTGCTTGTGCTTAACTAATCACTACTTAGTCTACACATCACTAATAACCACAGATGTTGTCCTGAACCAGTATAATTGAACACGTGCGTGTACTGCTTGCTGAATCTCAAGTATAGTTCAGGTTGTAGTCCCTCCCGGACCTGCAAGAACCTGCCACCAGATTAATAATCACGTGCGTGTTATACCACTCCTCTCAAAATATGCATGATTGACAACTACATGAGACATTTATCACATTCACGGATGCTTCATGATTGTTCTGAGTATACAGAGTTGGAGGTTTAATACGTGAATTTGTCACACTTTTGAGTGCTTCCAGTCATTTATTGGTCTGCTGATTTTCTTCAGCATATGCAGTATGCACATGTCAGCTGTACTTGTTAAGCTCTGTTTGGAGCTAGGTACACAGTTAAAGTAGGCACAAGCGTTAGAGTCGATCCTCCGTCAGTCTTTTTCAAGAATTTTGACGGTTGAAAGTTCTATTCAGCTGTTATTTTAATATTTCAGGTTCTATTTCAGGTGTTATTCTCGTGATATTTTAATATTGCAGGTGCTATTTCAGGTTCTATTCAGGTGTTATTTTAATTCTTTACATATTAGCTTTCAACAACTTCCAGCCTCGTTACTAACAATAATAAGCTACCATTGTTGTATCTCACACACACATACACTCATGACAAAATTATCCGAAATTAGCATACATTGTAAGCCAATTGTTACTGACCAATCTATAAGCATTCTCCACTCCGCTTCAGTTGTCCTGCATTCCCAGGGTTACATTACATGGTTAGTTGGTTACGGTTTTTATGCTGTTTCAGTTCATTACTCGGCGGCCGACCAACTCTTGTTGGTCTTCTATTAGTGGTTCCCTCAGTGGTTTTATTTCCTCTCTCCCTCTCTCTCCCTCTCTCTCTCTCACTCTCTCTCTCTCTCTCTCTCTCTCTCTAGCCTTTTATCTATTATAAGCTTATGGTCCGCCGCTACACGTCACATATGTCATCATGCTCATTAATTTCCTGTTTCCTTTCTTTTGAGTGCCTTCCAATTTCTAAAACTTCAAAGTTGGATTCACGATTAATTTATTAATTTCATTGTGGACTCAGACGATTGAACTTCCAATTTACGTAATCATGGACTGCGACTACACACTGCATTTAAACTGTGTAATTCAAACTTTTAATAATATTCTATTGTCTAACTTTGTACACTGTACATATAACATACCGCTGCAGAAAAAGAGTTGTCGAACTTCTTAGTTCTTTCTACCCTTAAATACCTGTTAACTGCATTCCCCTGGCGCACTTAGTCTCAATCCACTCTCCGCATATTTCGTCAACTTTTTCCTAATTTCTCCACCTTCAAGCAGAGAAATCAGATTTTTACTGAGTAAAAAGTGCATCAAACCCTTTAATTGCATGTAACATATCTTTTCCTTGTTAATGAGCTCCACTCCATAAACTCCCCCCGTCTTGTTCGTTTTAATTTTTCTCCAGATAGAAGCTACTGCTCCCTGATAACCACACATTCCACCGACTTCACCACAACTTCACCACAACTTCACCACAACTTCACACCACCACATGACACCATACATAACATGTATTGATAATTATATGTACAGTTGTCGCTAGCAAGCACAGAGATCATGATGATAAATCAACTGTTGGATGTATCTATTCATGTCTGGAGGGAGTGCATATCATTATCATACTCGAATAATCGGGGTAGCTGTTTCTCTGCCTTTCATCATTTCTATCATTCTGTATCCTTTTTTGCCGAAATTTCCTCAATTTTAGATGCCAGTTGAAAAATAAAGATTTGCACTGTATAATAGATTGTTCCTGCTTTCTGGTGCATCTTTCCAAGACGACTGTTATAATTTCTATACAATAAACCAACATTTCGGGGGATCAAATTTCCGGCACATCTTAACGTTACTCATCCTGATCCCAGATGGACTGATCATGGAAGTGTAGGACTGATCACAGAAGTATCACAAACGATCCATCCTAATTACATAATTAGCTAATTATCTCCATCTCTCCTAATTACTTGCATCCTCTTCTTGCCTGCTTCAACCGCTACCCGGTTATTTGTTCGTCTGTTCGCATATTTGATCTGACTGTCCTTGGTATGATGGGCGACTGTAAATTGATCATGAATAATCCACTGTGATAGTTAACATAGTTATTTTTTATATTTCTTTTTGCTATAGATTTGCACTTCATTTATGTCCAGGTTCATTATAATATATAATGAAGGACTTCTGGGCAATGAGCTTGGTTGTGTGACACACTCAACTAGGGAAGTTGAGAGCCCTCAAGTTAACATAGTTAACTGTGACAGACGTGCAAAAACCCATCAACACTTAACTATCACAGTTAACATAGTTACACAGTGACCTAAAACTTACTTCGAAATTAATTTCTGACACTACGCTTAGCCTAAACGCTTACCCCGACGGCCGACTCTAGTAATCCCTTGTTCATAGCGTAACAGGCCGAGGGTAATTGTCCGTTTATTTCGTCACCCTCTCCGTGTTTGTTTGGCAGACTCTTATCAGCTCCTGTGTCTCCAACAGTGACCTGATCATCTGTCTATTAGATCTGGTACCTAAACCCAGTTGATATTTCCATTATACTTGAAGAATAGTACTAATACTAATTAGTGTGCACTGCCTGTACAACTTTAGCGACGGAAGTATGACTCGGCAACCACACGTGCCACTTACACACTACAGTGTAGGGAACTTCTACCATATATTGTACTATATATAGTACTTTAGTGAACTTTTATTGAGTTTTTCAGAACTGCCCAGCCTGCACTCTTGTTTTTTCTAAAGAATCACGTTTTGAATAAGAGAAAGAATGCAAAACGTTCAGTATTTCATTTGTTGGAGCTCTGTCATTTGCAAAGTTTAGAGTTTGGTTCCTCAAGTTACCTCAACGAACATACTTTTACTTGACGCTCACATAATGTCTTATCATCTGCTTGATTGGATTGCTTTACTTGGATGCAAATAAGCTAAAAAGTGTTCTTTCAGCATATTATTATTATATACACTGCTTACTACCACCGTGTCCGATGCTCGAGTTGGAAATTTTTCGAATTCTTTATGTAACTAAATCTGCCAACGTACCCTGAAGTAGTGTAGTTGTTGAAGTCGTTCAATGAGAAATGATGCGTTTACTTTAGTGTTAGTCACATAACTATACTAACGTTTATATGATTCAATAAATCAATATGTTGTTGAAGTGTTAATAATTTATAAGATGATATGTGGAGTAGCGCCTGCCTTTGTTGTACAACTCCGAGTTAGGAAGATATTTATTTAGCTCTTACATCTTAAGTCGTGTAGTGTTATTGGGTCTCGTTTAACTTTCAGCATAACTTATTAACTCGCTTATTATTTGAATTTTGTCTGCCATACATTTGATATTTGGATTCTTGGCTTCGTTGCAACTAATAGTAATAAATAAGTCTAAAATATAAGTCTAAAATTAACGTTAACGTTTTATCGTGCCGACTCTGACGTTTTACTGTGGCCAAATATCGTCTTTTTAAGGAACGCCTAACAGTCTTACTTTTATTTTACGCACTGGAATTTATTTGATGTGTTAACATAGGCGTATGTTTTATACTGGTCTAGCTTGTCCTTATGACCTTTCTTTCTCTTTTTGAATGACTCTTTGCGTTTTTGTATTTTACTATCTGACATTACATTGACATAGCTAAGATTTTATAGTTGTAATTGTAAACCTTGTACTACTGCCTTTGGAATGCAACTGAAAACTGATTGTATTAAGAATTGATATCTATGACAAATAAGCATCAGTGATTGGAACACTGCTGTGAAATAGTGCATATTTAAAGTTTGAAGAAACGGTCATAATATCTTCTTGTATAAGATAAAATAACGACCCCGTACTTTCAGCATGAGATGTAATGCTCATACATCTTCTGGCCCTAATCGGATTAACAGTCGCTCAACAAGAACTCTGTTATAAAGGCCCAGGTTAGTAAGTTACTAAATAACCATTTGGAAAATGTGAAACTTATTCTCCCTGATTTTTTCGCAGGTTTTTCTATAATACTGTGCATTTTTGTTTTCCCCCTATGAGCCCGGTATAGAGGATTTTACTGTGATATTTTTTACTATTTCTTTGCTCAAGATTAAATAGGATTCAACTTAACTAGTTCGAGCGGATACTGCTGCTGGTACGGTTGGGTGCCACATCACAATACTTGGGGTTTTATCTCCAAAGAAAGATATGATCTCACACTCTCACAGTCCCTTAAATCTCAGGAGACGTGTACACGGGTTTTATAAACCGAACTACGAAGGGTGACTCTTGTGAGTCATGGTCCCAGCAGAGTCTCATTACCCTTGAGGAGGAGGTCAACCACAACTACTGCCGGTACGTTCTAATTCTCATGCAATTCCAGCTAAATCTGCCTTTTTGGTTTTGGTTTGGTTTTGGTTTAGGGAGCAAACTTACCATATAGGTCCAGGATAGAGATCAAAGTATACAGCATATATAATTCTGCAACTTATTCTCGCACTACTTGCTAGCCATTGTGTGAAGTACCTGCAGGTGGCACACTTCGCACCTCGCCCACTTTAGACTGTGTAGACAAACCACACCATGTCGACAGTATGGCTACGTGGCTGGCATCTGGTTGCTAAATTTTAGGCGGACTTTTGGGAGGAATTTGATTTTTCGTGTGGCTATATTTCAGCACGGCTCAGCGGTTATCAAATGTTGCAGGGTCAAATTAGTATAATTGCCAATTTTATAATACGTATCCGGATATACCGGAGCGTCAGCCGCCAAGATTGAGCACAGTTTTTTGTACAGTTAACCCAAATATAGAAAAGGCGTGGTGGTTAATTACAAAAATCAGCGATCTAATCTTGGGAAAATTTTTGGATCCGATGTTATTATATTTAAGGAAAATTGTGTACCTGGTTTGAAATGTGCCAAATTTCGCAACATTATGGCGGACCTACTTTAAAGTAGAATTTGTTGATCGCTCCACTTCCCAGTCCTATGTCGATCAATCTGCATACTAAGCTTAATTTTAGAATAGAACAAAAGTGTATAATAAAAGGTGTCGATGTTGAGTTGCTGTTGTTAAACTCTTAAATTATCTGCGAGTTATATAAATATAACTTGCAGTATTCAACAGGACTCCACCCATCATGTCTAGTGTTGCTGATCGTGAGGAGGCAGTGCATGTTCCTTATCTCACTTTACTTGAGAACTTGTGAAAAACAAACGTTGATCATCGCCCCAATCAAAAAGCAACATCAATTTATCAATCTCAACCGATATAATCGGTTAGGATTATCCATAACATAATTATCTAATTAGTCCCCTTTCTCAGAGTGTTCCAGAACATGTCCTCAACCCCGTACTGTGTCTACAACGGACAGAGACAGCCATGTGACGTTGCCAAGTGCGATGTCTCCACGTTGCGGTTCCAGGGGTTTAACTTCCTATTCTTTAGAAACACCACCAACTACCCTAACTATCCGATTATAGCCCAACAGATTAACTTCTACTTCAAGGTAAACTGTCTCTTAAAATGTAAATTTAATCTGTTTTTTTGGCAATCATTTAAGTTTTTGGTTAACCATTTGAAGACGATTTCAAATGAAAATTGAATGTTTGATCTTTGATTTGCTCTTAGTTGGGGCGCGATTGGGACAAGTAATATTTGAGAGAGTACTTTACAAGAGGTGAAATAATTCCCAAATAACCCTCACCTCCCTCTCTCAGCACGACGTTGTATCCGACGACCCCCGGCCTCCAGCAGTACTGGTCCAGGTTAAGAGCAGAAACGACAGCAGGCAGCACATGTCTGTCATCTTACAGAACGGGTTTCTGAAGCTGGTCGTCAGTCTGGACTCTTATAACACAGAGAGGGTAAGGGTCACGTGGTTCATGTCTAGGTCACGTGGTTCATGTCTAGGTCACGTGGTTCATATCTAGGTCATGTGACTTTATGTAGAGTCTTATAGTTTGTGATTTGGTGTTAAACGTGTGAAATGTTTCCATCATATTGGAATTTCATGAAGCCTTCAGTTAGACACCATGTAGATTATGGTTTATATTTAAGTTTAACATGTTTAATGTTTATTGATCACTATTTTCTTTCCCACAGTTTGTGTTTGGGGGTCCCGTATCGTATGGGGACGTTCACTACGTATCAGTTAATCGGTCTAGGTCCCAAGTATTCGTACAACTCAACGAAACCATCTCCAACTTCACCCTTACTAGCAAGGTTAGTTTAGCCAGGTTATTTCTTGGCTGTTCTTTGCAGTTTCCAGGATTGCGGGCGTGTTTTGATCTTTGTGTGAATGTGATCTTTTATATTCTAGTGTATTTGATATAGTAATATGAGAATTGCCTGTGGAAATATTTTCCTGTTAAGATCAGGAATCTATGGATATTGGACAACATTTTCTAATGCTTGAAACAAAATGTAGGTAATATCGGAACCAGACTTTCCCATCAAACTCTGTACACCTCGCAACCGTAAACAAGAAAGGACCAAGAATCCAAATATCAATGTAAAAGTTTGCATATCGTGCCTGCTACCACATGTTGCTCGTACCAAATAGCTAAATGGGACACAAAGCACCGAAAGCAGACCATAATTTACTTCCAGTATTCTACAGTTGCATTGTAGACCCTAGGAGAGTTTGACTATCACGATAAGCCTCAGGGGTCATGGTTAATGTTTATGTCGCTGAGATGAATTTGTTATCTTCCATGTAAACTCAAATACTCGTTTGTTGCTGTCCGTATAAATCTTTATCCGTATGCATCGCATACTTTAGTATACTTATCTCGATTTCGAATCACCAATATTTTTGTTATTTACTTGGCTAGTATGGCTACGAAGTACGAACGTTATGAAAAAATTGTTTAATAACAAAAAATGGTTCTATTCTCTTTCAATTGTCAAATAAAAGCTGGCGAAATCAACCAAAAGTTAGATTTTGTTTCTCAAAACTAAACACGGTGGCCCCTTGTAGGACACGGAGTTCCTAGTGTCACCCTACCAAGTGATGGTTGGAGACAACTACTACGGCTGCATGACCGGTCTCAGTATCGGTACCTGGATTCAGAACGCACAGACTGTAGAGCTCCTGTCAGATCGACCCTTCCCACTCTACGACGGTAAGATGCTTGTTTGTTACAACTCAAGAAACCTGCTAACAAAACCTGTTCGCAAATTATATTGCAGATTTTGTGCATGGTTTTTATTTTTACCATCACCATTACAAAGATTACGGACTGGAACATTATTTATTAGTCGCATTATAACAATAGACAGTTTTTGTCGCAAAAAATCAGAATAATCAGAAATTATTTGGAACTCCCAAAAACTGTCCATTGTCATCACCATTACTATCAGAATTTCATTATTAAAATTGCTTTGTTGCGAATTTTTTCCGACAAAGGCTTAGATTAGGACGGATTCGACTGTACTATATATGTGATATTTTACAATTTTTCAATATTTTTAAATTTTTTGGTTCTGAATTCCTATTGTTAACAATACCAGGGAGTGAAATAAAGCAGTTTACGATACGAAACGCTAAAACGGGAACCCCACTATCGGAGCAGTGCATGTTCGCCCCAACTACTGTCGTTAGAAACAGTTACATGATGAAAGAGAGATCTTCTCAGACGCTCACTGGTGAGATATATTTACCTTTGGTTTCTGAGATGTTTAGATTAGAATATGAGCATTAAATAAGGAGAAGAAAAATTTAAAATAAATATAATCACATTGTAATTTTAAAATTAAAAACTTGAAATTGTCTGAACGTTGGTCACAGTGGGGTCAATGAAACATTGTTTAGCTTAAACTTTAAACGAATGATTTCTTTTATAAAATGAAAATATATATTAATACAATTAAGGAGGTCGTGTGTCCATTAATTTATCAGTTGATCACCACTTCGCTTAATATCTCTTTTGAACTGTCACCCATCCCACTGTCTTCTGTATCCAAGACATCCGTCGCCTTGTCTTTCTCAAATTCGTGATCCTCCGCCACCCATTGGTCCTCTGTTATTTTGTGTAAATTACTCGGTTTCCTTTTCCTCTCCTCCTCCTCCTTATTGGAATTACTGAGAGGGTGGTCTCCTCCAACACACAGTTTACTGGGATCTACTCGTCTTGGTAGACTCTGTCCTGAACTGAGTTTAACAGCTGAGAGTACCATGGCTCGCTGCTTCTTCTTCGTTTTACCGTGAGGCATACTATTACCTGAGAGTACAAAATGGAAGGGTAGAAGTTTATGAAAAAATAAGACTTGGCAACTGACTGGATTGTTTTAGAATATCTTAAAACAACTTTTCCCTCAAATTTACAAGTAATACTGTTTAAAAATACATGGTGTTATCAGTTTGGAAACTGTTCCATTTACAAACTCACTTCTGGTTCTTATGCGGGTATGGTGCTCCCTCCCTTCTGAAGAAGACACTTGTAAATCACAATCTTTGTTAGTCCTGATTCTGCCCTCCGACCTCGACTCCGATATCTTCCTGCTCATACTTGGTCTTTTTCTTTCAGAGGTTGAGCCTTGTGGCTCTTCGATTGTGGTTTTAGGGGAATTCATTCGATATGATCTCTCAAAGTCGTACAATGAATGCTGGGACACTTTCTCGCTCCGTTTGGTTGAGGTTTCATTACTTCTTTCCTGAAGAGTGAGTGCCACTAGGTTCTGAACCACTGTCGTCTCGTTCGTTTTCTGAAGCAACTTGCATTACATTTGTGAACTCTAGTCACAGTGATAAATTGCAGTGATTTTGATTTTATTGTCATTGTGACACGAGGGGAGCAAATAATAAGACGGAGTAATTTACCACCTCCCTACCCCTAGCAGTAGTTAACCGCTTCCATACCCCTAACATTAGTTAACCGCTTCCCTACCCCTAGCAGTAGTTAACCGCTTCCCTACCCCTAGCAGTAGTTAACCGCTTCCCTACCCAAGCAGTAGTAAACTGCTTCCCTACCCCTAGCAGTAATTAACCGCTTACCTACCCCTATCAGTAGTTAACCGCTTCCCTACCCAAGCAGTAGTAAACTGCTTCCCTACCCCTAGCAGTAGTTAACCGCTTCCCTACCCCTAGCAGTAGTTAACCGCTTCCCTACCCCTAGCAGTAGTTAACCGCTTCCCTACCCCTAGCAGTAGTTTACCGCTTCCCTACCCCTAGCAGTAGTAAACTGCTTCCCTACCCCTAGCAGTAATTAACCGCTTACCTACCCCTATCAGTAGTTAACCGCTTCCCTACCCAAGCAGTAGTAAACTGCTTCCCTACCCCTAGCAGTAGTTAACCGCTTCCCTACCCCTATCAGTAGTTAACCGCTTCCCTACCCCTAGCAGTAGTTAATCGCTTCCCTACCCCTAGCAGTAGTTAACCGCTTCCCTACCCAAGCAGTAGTAAACTGCTTCCCTACCCCTAGCAGTAATTAACCGCTTACCTACCCCTATCAGTAGTTAACCGCTTCCCTACCCAAGCAGTAGTAAACTGCTTCCCTACCCCTAGCAGTAATTAACCGCTTACCTACCCCTATCAGTAGTTAACCGCTTCCCTACCCAAGCAGTAGTAAACTGCTTCCCGGTAACACGACTCCTGTCCGACAGCGACATCTGTCCGAAAGCGACATCTGTCCGAATCAGGATACCAGAAAAAAACGACATCAAATTGTGACATGATTTCAATACGACACATTTCCAATTAGAGACATGATCTAAACTGTTACTTGCTAAATTGTATACGTAACATGTCCAATTTGAGATATGATCTGAGCCATAGTTTACTACCACAGTTTATTTTAATTTGATGTCGATAAATTGGACAATAGTTTCAATGTTATTTAAATGTTATAAATTAATTCAATTAATTCAATATAATACAATATCACAGAATCAAATCTAAAGCATAGTCAAATTTCCGATAGCTTTAAGGAAATCCATAGGGTTGCTGTAGTTGTCGTAATCATCTACAATTCTCTGAAGTTGTCGATCATAACGGATCCATTTGGGTGCACGTGGCTCAGGTAGTTCCCGCCCGTCTCTTTTGGTTTTCTTCACGTCTGTAAGGGCTTGTTCTGCTTCAAGGCAATCAAGGAACTTCCAAATTGTGGGCTTCGAGCAGGACAGCATTGAATGGAATCTTCTGCGATGTTGGATGAGCGAGGAATCCTCATCTGTGCAGCTTCGTGTTGATTCCACATGTGGGGAGCGAAGTTAGGATTGGTGGTTGATGTTCCGATCCAAGTGTTTTCGTAGTATGAAGCAAACTCAGCCATGTCTATAGGAAGGAGGGGCTTCAGGTGTCTCCAGATTCGAAATCCCGAACAGGAGAGTTTGGAATCCCATCCAGAGTCCCAGAGCATCATTGGTTCGTTGTCGGTAGAGAGGATGTAGTTTGCAGGAATGGAGAGCGTTTCCAGATCTCTCGGGTTAGAAGGGTGTCTGTTAGCTGCTTTTCTGCTTCTCTGTACCATTCTGTTGAGGGATGACAGCTGGCAGCCAAGCTTTGCTCTAGATTCGTAACCCAATCCACCGACTGCTTCAGATACGAGGTATTTCGATAAGTGCAGATCTCCATACTGCTGTCCTATATGTACTCATGTCCTGTGATGTGATCGACAGCTTGTTAGGGTACGGCTAGCACGATCCTGTTCTCAACTAGTCAATCACGTATCGATGGATCAGATCATAAGGGATCACATCAGCTTTAGAACGTCACGAGATTACCTGTGAGCTTGTGAAATGCGAATGTGAACCGAAATTACAATATGATCCGAAATTCGGACAGATGTCGCCAAAAACGACTCCTGTCCGACAGCGACATCTGTCCGAAATCCCTAATTCAGCTTTCGGACAGATGTCGCTGTCGGACAGATGTCGCCCAATCCTGCTTCCCTACCCCTAGCAGTAGTTAACCGCTTCCCTACCCCTATCAGTAGTTAACCGCCTCCCTACCCCTAGCAGTAGTTAATCGCTTCCCTACCCCTAGCAGTAGTTAACCGCTTCCCTACCCCTAGCAGTGCAACGGGTCTGAATCACTGATCTTACCGTTCGTAAGACTATCTTGTATCTGAAATTCCACGTCAAGTAGCACATAAAGAGAGCTACCACAACAATCAGGCAGAAAACAATTGCTGTTACTTCGTATCCCCTCAGTCCGAGATCAGCCGTTGAAAATATGATATCATCAGAATTTTCCAGTGTATCATCACTGGAGTTAAATTTAGGTGTTGTGGCTTCATTTCGGCTGAACATGTGCCTAAAAAGCTGTGATTCTCTGCGTGCATGAAGTTTAAGTATGAATTTCAACTGTTAGTTTTTCTTTAAAAAACCAATTCATTCAATAACGTGTACAACTTTTAATTGAAGACGTACTCTTTCACGAAATAAAAACAAACAACAAGGCTATTTGGCTTCTGGCGATCACGTTCAGTTTTAGCTGTTGTATATACGCACTTATAAAATGTAGATATTGTAAATAATATAAAGCAACGTAGACCATTCACCATGCATCAATAATTGGCGGAAATTAGCATGACTTAGCAAAAGTATTTATTTCTAAATTCCAATCCGGCTAACACACCAAATACTCAAAGAAATGAATGTTACATGATGGAAAATTAAGTTTAGGAGGGCTTCATGCAAGTGTTGGAACGAAAATTTCCAATATTTGAGTAAACTGATACGACAATTTCAAACAAGTTCTGAATCTTTGATAACAGTTACGTCACTAAATGACCGGACCACGCACTACACATTTTTGTTCTGTTCCAAAATATTATTTAATTATTATCGACAGATGCTCATTTTAAACCACTGTACATGCCCTACCTATAGAATTAGGGCATATAATTAGGGCATATAATGCTTTTGGACACGAAGGGAAACACACAACATAAGGCTTGAAATCTTCGTAAAACTACATCATTATATTATATTATAGAGGTGAGGCATTGGGTAAGGCATTTAATGAAAGATGCTCTACTAAAAGATTTAAATGAGCCCTGGGGGGGTTCAGTATGACTATGAGTACTTAGCTCTCAAATTTGCCCTAACATTGGGCGAACTGTATAGCCGCGAGCATGCTAAATCACTCTACAGTCGATCTTCGAGATTGTTCTAAAAGGGCCCCGACGGTTGTAACCAACTTCAATCGATGTATAGCCGGGGGTGGGGGGCCTCATTGGACTTTATTTGAACGGAGATTAATTGGACGCTAGAGGTCCTAGCATTCATTTTAATGTCCGTCCAAAATTATGTCCGTTCACGCAATGTCCGGTCAAATAACGTCCGATAATAATAATATACATATACATTATATTTACAGTGAGAATTGGCGTTATAAGCTGTTCGAAATTGCTATGTCATACCTACACACACCTATTTCCCCAGAAAACCTACCGGAAGCAGCAGTGGAGATTGTACCGAAGAAGGGGACACTTGATCAGCGGTCCATCATCATCATATCAGTGGCGCTCGGTGTTATCTTCACTCTTACCCTCGTCACCCTGATCTGCGTCAAGAGGAATCAGGAGTTTACACCGCAGGGCTACAATCTTGAGGTCATGTGATCAAATTATGTATGATTTCTTCATGTAGACTCGGTTGTTTTTCATTGGTCACGTATCTTATTTTTTCGTTCGTTATTGTTTTTGTAAATACGAATATTTAGTACTTAAACAGGCCATTCTTGATAGGAACATAGGATATTGACAATTGACCGGTACGGTCATTAACGGTTATTTGTAACGAGGCCATCACGAATTTAGTATTTATTGAAATGTGACTTGAAGTTAAATTGTGTTCGTTATGCATTATGATGACTTTCTAACGAGTGAAGATTCAAATATAGAAGTGCACGTACACATGCGTTCGTAGACTAAATTGAAACAAATTGAAGGCCAATATATAGATGGATTTCACAATTTTTATAATGCTATTAGTATTTCTAAATTAAAAATGATGCACATCAAAATGATGCCATTAGAACACTTTATAATATGCTCATAGTATGCAATTGCAGTATCATTCAGTCTTTTTTGCAATTTTACTAATAAGTTTTCAAGTTTGATGTTCAGTGTTTAAATTAATTCAAAAGATTTCGTTGATCATATCTATTTGAGCATTTTTTCATCAATGTGGAAATCTCTAAAACTAATAGCTATATTAATTGATCTAGCTTATTTATTAACATGACAGCAGAATTTCGTTTGATTTTGTTGCGGTAAAATGATTAACGTGTGATACTCATACTCGTAAAATATATCTGTTTCAAATTTTTCTAGAACATCGATGAGCTAAAAAACAAAACCAAACTCGGCACGCGTCTTTGTAGGTTATATTTATAAACTTACAACAATTTTCCAGACATTAATTGGGTTGACAAGATATGTTGTACGTTGCGTATGATGGTATGAATACCATCATCAATTAACGGACTAATTGGTCTCTGGGCAAAAAGTCCATCCAATCTGTCAAATTTGTGTTCAGAAATTTACATATTTGAAAATGGGACAGAAATTGGAAATTATAAATTTTCGTTTTGTTAAGCTTTCTGCTGTGACTGTAAGCTTGTAGGTTTATAACCTACCAGGACGCGCGCCGAGTTGGATTCGTCGACGGTCCTAATATATGGAACTAATATATGGAACAAATATTTTACGAGTATCACCCGTTAACTGTGAGCTTCCTCCGACTGATATCAAACTTCCAGCACCCCAATCGTGTCATACGCCATCTATAAGTATAGGTGACTGACTAATTGGTTGCGGGTAAGAAATTCAGTCAAAACTGTAAAATTTCGGTCCTGGAAATTTCATTTTCAAAAACTGAAAATGGGACAGAATTTGGGACAATATGTTTTTTCAATTTTATTCAGAATTTTGACTTCCAGTACCTCAATTTGGTTTCATACCATCATCAATTAAGTGACTAATTGGTCTCTGGGCAAAAATTCCATCCAATCTGTCAACAGTCAAATTTGTGTTCAGACATTTCCATATTTGAAAATGGGACAGAAATTGGAAAATATAAATTTTCGTTTTGTTAAGTGTTAAGCTTTCTGATGTGAGCTTCCTCCGACTGATATCAAACTTCCAGCACCCCGATCGTGTCATATGCCATCTATAGGTGACTGACTAATTTGTAATTGGTTGCGGGTAAGAAATTCAGTCAAAACTGTAAAATTTCGGTCCTGGAAATTTCATCTTCAAAAACTGAAAATGGGACAGAATTTGGGACAGTAATAGTATGTGCAATGTGGTATGATTTTTCAATTTTTATTCAGAATTTTGACTTCCAGTACCTCAATTCGGTTTCATACCATCATCAATTAACTAAGCAATTGGTCTATGGGTAAAAATTCCATCAAATCTCAAATCTGTAAAATTTGTGTTCAGAAATTTTCATATTTTTTATTTGAAAACGGGACAAAAATTGCAAAATATGATATGGATGTACAATGTATGAATTTTTGTTTCGTCAAGCTTTTTTGTTTTTGCTGTGTTTTGTCCATTTATTATTTAATCGTTTTGATCGTTGATGGACTGAGCTGGCCAACTGCGCACTACTTCCAAAAATTTAAACGAGTATCAACTATCATCCGCGTCTGCAACTGTGAGCTCAGAGATTTCTCCGCGACCGAAATCAAAGCTAAAGTTTTGCACCACTTTAATCTTGTCATATGCCATTTATTAAACTGACTGACTAATTGTGAATTGGTTGCGGATTTGTTTGTATCATGTCGTGACCGGCCCCATCGTCGTTTCACTATAGCATAGTGTTTATATCTTTATATATAGTGTTTATACTGTGGAGTTTCTACGATACAGGGGGAGCCGCGCACTCGTGCGCGGCGGGTCATACAACGTATGCAGTATCAAGTATGACAAGGATTTGTAGCTTAACGGGTGATACTCCATACTCGTTTGACGGATGTTACTCGTCTAAATTTCTTCGAAGTAGCGCGCGCCGCTTTCTTCTCGAAATGTTACCCGACGGCAAATGTTACCAGACGGCAAGTGCTACGAAGTAGCGCGCGCCGGGCCAGACCATTAACAATGGTCAAATACTCGTAAAATATTTGTCCAACTCGGCGCGCGTCCTGGTAGGTTATATAGTTTGTACAGGGTGGGCCAAAAGTCAGTGGGCATGTGTTGGCCTTATAATAGCTCCGCCGTGTTTTATATTTGAGAGCTGTTGCTTATCAGATGGCATACTGTACCTTCTGGTTCGAGGATTCCGTCGTCAAAATTTGAAAATTCCACGCCCATTCTAAATTAAAACACCTATGGCTATTGTTTTCAGAGACGGTAGATTATTAAATGTTGCATCTGATCTGAAAGTTTCACGTGAATTTGGTTTTTATGGTTTTGCAGCCGTACAAAACGGTTTTACATAAACGGTTTATTAAACCCCAATCCCAACCCTAACCCTAACCATAACCCCGAAGCTAACCATAACGGCATAACCCTTACCACAACTAGGTAGTGCGCCATCGACAAAAAGCCGCGCGTGCCGACTGTAGGATGGTTTTTTAGCGCTAATTTTGGCCAGCACAATTTTCTTCAAACAAATAGATATTAAGTATCCTTCCCAACCTCCGATTGCAGCAAAAATTGGTAAGCTTACTCATAGACTTACAAGGAAAGTGTCCGAAAAGTTTAAAGCATATCCATTTCCAACCATCAGACATTATGTTACAGCTAAAAGCAGCGTATTTTGCCCCATTTTGATCACTTTATCAACTCCGATATCCACCAAATGTTTCAGACAGTTGTGAAAGCCCTATTGGAAGGTCGTCGCCAATTTTCAGAATGATCTCATTTAAGGAACTGAAGATATATCCAAATAATACGACAAAAATCAACGAATTTGGTCAAATTTGGTCAAATTACGCGAGTTTTACAGCTAATTTTGCTCCAAAAGCCGCGCACCATCAAATATGGCACCTAGGCGAAACTCACTGATCTTTCCAAAAAGGTATGACAAATTTGGTATTGTGAAAATTCTCACAGTCTCTAGAAAACAATAGTACTAAAATTTTCAAAATCCGAGCAAGTTTATTTTTATGGTGCACCCCCTACCGCAACCCTAACCCTAATCCGAGCCCTAAACAATCGAATTCATGTTTTACTAGCCTTTCACTGTTCACGTGACCAAAACGGTTTTTTGCCCATAACTCTCCGTGGAAGCATTTTTACCCTACGTCATGTGGGGTGATTCGGAATCAGCGCAGCGTCCAAAAATACGCCGATTCAGATCAATTTCACACCCTTAAAATTTGGGCGAGCGATTTAGTAGGAGCGGATTATGTGACACCGTGACACGACACCTTAATTGGGCAGCCTTAACGATTCTCATAATGTTTAATGGGTTGGTTAACGGGGTGACCTTATCACGTGATTAGGTAAGCCAATCACCTGATCACACGTAATGAATTAACTCGTTATGCTTCGTATCTCCGCCATACGAGAAGCTACAACTGTAATTTGTTCAGGACAAACGTAATTCGAATGGCCAAACACAATTCAATAAAATTTAGCTCGTTCCGACTATCCAAACTATCAAATAAATGTAAAAATGAACCTTCATTTGAAATAAATGAACTCTAATATTTTTCGATTTGACAAATTCCTCGAACCAGTGGTGCCCTGGTGGTAGTAAGTAGTACCAGAATTAATATGTATTTTAAAAGATAATCTTATTTTATTTTATAAAATAATTCGTGAAGTTCTAAGAAACACATAAATTTTATACAAGTGAAACAAGCTCATTGGGCTTTTTGATATCGGAAAAAATGATATCGAATTAATGAATGCTGTTGTAAAAAGGAACAACAGCATTATAAAGTAATTTTTTTGGATTTTGTTTTTTTTGTTTTTTCTTTGATTTTGCCTCTTTTAACATTTTTTTGGTTTTTTTCTGGTTTATGAATAATAACAAGAAACGATTAATGCATATCCTATCCCATGACTGTGGTGTCTGCAGTTGCTGCTGCAGAGCGTGTCAGAGCATGTGTCAGAGCGTGTGTCCGAGCGTGTGTCAGAGCGTATGTCAGACCGTGTGTCCGACCGTGTGTCCGAGCGTATTTCATAGCGTGTGTCCGAGTGTTATGTCCGAGCGTATGTCAGACCGTGTGCCCAAGCGTATTTCAGAGCGTGTGTCAGAGCGTATGTCAGCGTGTGTCAGACCGTGTGTCCGAGTGTTATGTCCGAGTAAGCGAGCGTGTGTCAGAGCGTATTTCAGAGCGTGTGTCAGAGCGTATGTCTGGCCGTGTGTCCGAGCGTGTGTCAGACCGTGTGTCAGAGCGTATTTCAGAGCGTGTGTCAGAGCGTGTGTCCGGGCGTATGTCAGAGCGTGTATCAAAGCGTATGTCAGAGCGTGTGTCAGAGCGTATGTCTGGCCGTGTGTCCGAGCGTGTGTCAGACCGCGACTGTGTGTCCGAGCGTTATGTCCGAGCGTGTGTCAGAGCGTATATCAGAGCGTGTGTCAGACCATGTGTCAGAGCGTGTGTCAGAGCGTATGTCAGAGCGTGAGTCCGGGCGTATGTCAGAGCGTGTGTCAGAGCGTGTGTCAGAGCGTGTGTCAGAGCGTGTGTCAGAGCGTGTGTCAGAATGTGTGTCCGGGCGTATGTCAGAGCGTGTGTCAGAGCGTATGTCAGAGCGTATGTCAGAGCGTGTGTCCGGGCGTATGTCAGAGCGTATGTCAGAGCGTGTGTCAGAGCGTATGTCAGAGCGTATGTCAGAGCGTGTGTCAGAGCGTATGTCGGTAGACTTTTCAAACAGTAAGGCAATTATCCTGATCCCCCTGATTCTGCAGAGATAAAATGAGATTAAATTAGGCTAGGATCCCCCCCCCCCCCTCCCCTCTGCAATAAGATCAGTGTTGCTTCAATTGATTTTTATAGATTGCAGTTACATATTTTCAGATCAGTTGATTAGCTTTCAAGGAAAAATTATAAGTGATTGGATCACAAATGCAAAGGTATTACAAGATTCAACAAACTTAATTCGTGTACCAAATGACTTATGAAAATTTCATTTGTTTAAAGGTTTAACTATCCATTTACCTGTTCACGAGATCTCGTTACAAGCTGTTTCGGGAACTGGCCAGCTCCGTGAGATGCATTGTCTCTGATTAGCAGATTATTTTCTGAGATAGATTTACGATTTCTCTGTAACTCCTCTGTTGTGTTATTTG